ACTGAGCCACCCAGGCACCCCACTTTTAAAAATATTTTTTTTAATGTTTGTTTATTTTTGAGAGAGAGAGACAGAGAGCCCAAGTGGGGAAGGGGCAGAGAGAGAGGGGAACAGAGGATTTCCAAAATGGGCTCAGAGCCCAATATGGGGGTGGAACTCATGAACTGTGAGATCATGACCTGAGCTGAAGTTGCAGGCCTAACTGACTGAGCCACCCAGGCGCCCCTAAATAGATACTTTTGAAAATGGATGGTAGGTTCAGTGGAATTGAACTGCTAACATATGTTTAAAACTTTATGTTATTTTTAAAATGGAGTACTGAATTACAAAAGAAACTGAGTCAGAATTACCATGTGGCAGGTTTAAAAAATGTTTCCCTAGATACTAGTTTGGTTATAAACTAAGATGATACATTTTTCTAGAAGTGCCAGAGTAAAATCTTATCAATTGTTACATGCTGACAGTTATTAAATAATACTGTGATTACTTGGTGAGTAGCATCCCTGTACAGCTCAGGACCTAGTAAGACTAAATGTGCATTCAAAAGTTATAGTTTGGGGGTGTCTGGGTGGCTTAGTTGGTTAAGTGTCTGACTCTTGATTTCAGCTCAGGTCATAATACCAGTGTTGTGGGATTGAGCTCTGAGTCAGTCTCCGTGCTGAGAGTGGAGCCTGCTTAGCATTCTCTCTCTCCTTCCTTCTCTCTCTCTCTGTCTCTGTCTCTCTCTCTCTTTGCTCCTTCCCTGCTTGCACTCTATTTCTCAAATAAATAAACATTTTGAAAAAAGTTATGGTTTGAAGTTAGTAGATAATTGACTCTCAGTCTTTTTACCTTTTTTAAAACATAGTTTTTACTTTTATTTTAGAGAGAGAGCATGAGTGATGTAGAGGGGGAGAGGGAGGAAGACAGGAAGAGAGAGAGAATCTCAAGCAGGCTCCACACCCAGTGCAGAGCCTGACGTGGGTCCCTGTCCCATGACCTTGGGATCAGGACCTGAGCCAAAATCAAGAGTTGGTTTCTCAATGCACTGAGCCACCCAGGAGCCCCCTCAGTCTTTTTTAAAAAAAAAAAACTGTTCTTATTCATCTCCCAGTCTTTATTTATGAGAACCATGTTTTCAAGAATTTCTGAGCAAACTGCATTAAACAGTAATTTATTTCTCAATAATAAAAAACACATATAATCCATGATGATGATTTCTGTTCAAAAGTAGATAACCAGTGGTATATTTAGTATACTCCGTTTCTATAATTCTAACCAAAACCACTGAAAGTCTTACCTAGCCTGTTGTAACTAAATCATGGGCACCTGTAATTTTTACCTACACATTTTGAAATGCTGAATATAGCTCATTGTGAGTAGAAGCCCAGGTTAAGAATCACTACTTCTGCTTCATATGCAAGATTAGCACCTAAGAAATGGCTTTCGTGTATTTACATGTTAATCAGAATTATACTTAATCTATTTATATGTTATTCTTTTTTTCCTCCCTATTTCTATAATTTTGATTGAAAATGCAGTGTTACTCTGGCTAAGAGAATCAGAAGTAACTTGTAGCCAAAATTACTTCCATATTGCTTTTTTGTTGTTCAAGCTCCATTTTTTTCTTCTGAGTATATAATTGAAATTAAACAAATGAACAGAGACAAATCTGATTATCACTATTCATTCAAGCTCTTAATTGTTCACTATTATTTATTATCTGAAGGCAGTTTAAGCAAAATGTGCAAGTCTTTTTTTTAGCATCTGGCATTTCTCTACTTTTCTAGTTTTGCTTTCTTTTCCTTAATCTTGAAAATGACAGCTTCAGAACTGTGTAGTTTTATACATTCTGATTTTTTTTTTCCCAGCGAGAGAGAGCTTACCTTCCTCCTAAAGTTTATCTCAAGCACTCTTAATTATCCTTAAAACATCCAGCTCAGATGTTAACTCCTGTATAAGTGGAGGAAAGGACACATACTTAAATGTAGGTATATCATAGTGTGTTTGCTTACTACTTGCTCACATGAATCAATAAGATACTTCTGTGCCCTTTTTTTTTTTTTTTTTTTAACATTTATTTATTTTGAGAGAGAGAATGTGAGCAGGGGAGGGGCAAAGAGACAGGGAGAGAGCTATTCCCAAACAGGCTCTGGGCTGTCAGTGTGGAGCCTGACACAGGGCTTGATCACATGAACTGTGAGATCATGACCTGAGCCGAAATTAAGAGTTGAACACTTAACCGTCTGAGCCACCCAGGTGCCCCAAGAAGATATTTCTAGAAGCAAGATTCTAAAACATTTATTTTTAGGTGAAAAGAGAAATACATTTGTACAGGGTTAAATTTTACAAATTAAAATTTTGTGAATTATGATACCAGTTGGCCTTTCTACCAAACGCCTTTCTATTTATGACATAATCTAACTCAAATTAGACAGAGTCACAAAGATCTTTCTTCCTCCCAATCTAAAGCTCACGGAGTTTAAAAGGTTAGCATGGTAATCTCATATTCCCACTTCATTTGTACAGATTTAACAAAGTAAAATTTTATTTTGGATATGGAGAAATTATTATGGAATAAATCAAATGTTCTTCAATGAAAGAATGAAATGAAACAGGAATCTTTAGGTTACCTGTCTTATAGTAGATAGTTTTATTTTGAAATTAAAATACCCTTGTCCTTTTGTGCTACTTAATACCTTCAAAGGTATAATACAAGGTATACAAGTGCTAGACTTTACATTATACATGGGTAGGGTTATTTTTGCTTTAAAGAAATTCTTAAAAATCATAAAGTGGTCAATTTTGTTATATATATTTTACTACAATAAAAAATTCTTCGAATCATTGCACAAAATAAAAACCTCACTTGCTCTGTAACACCAGTCCTTATATTGTTCTACATTTTGCTTTCTGCTGCCCTCCATTTTTCCTTTTCCTCTTGAACCTAGCACTGTGAAACTTTCCTTCATCTTACCAAACTTTCTTTAGTGGTCACAACTTCCATGGCCTTTTCTCCCTTGATTGAGATCTTCACTGAAGACACAAACATCTAGATGCTCATAGTCTTCCTATTAATACCAGTTCCTGCCTTTACTTTAGTGATTTTAGTAGCTACATAGACAGTTGTAACTTTGTCAGTATGTTGAACTCATTTCCAGTGGCATTTTGCATGTGCCTTAGGTAGGCGTTTAATTTTAGGTAATCCTATGGACCTTACTTTAACTAGAGCCATGTAAACTCCCAAATCATCGTAGATGCTGGTATCTCCATTGTCTAAGCTTGTTTGTGCAACTATGCTAGCTTGTATTATGTTTTGATACCTTATCTGAGTTATTGTCAAAGAGTTCTAGCTGATCATCCTGTTTTCCCTTTTCAGATTCACCTTTTCTATGTCTGATGAATTTCCTAGAACATAAATCTGATTATTACATCTTGGTTAGAATTTTTCAAGGGTTTCCCATTACTGAGAAGATAAAATCCAAATATTAGCATGGTATACCCAGCCCTTCACAGTCCGATTCTGGATTTTATTAATTATTATCTCCTATTCTGACCTTTGCATGGCTTTCATTGGCTAAATTGAAGTCTTTGTAGTTCCCCAAATATGCCTCTGCATTTAGCATAGGATATTATTTTGACTTCCCTGTGAAGCTTTCCTTGGTATCAAGGCTGACTTAAGCATTATGTTCTTTTTTCAGTCTATATATATTTCCATTATAGCTCTTATCACCGTATGGTGTCATTTCATATGTGTGCCTATTTATTACAAGAATATGAAGAATAATGGATTTATTTATTTTTTTACTCATGTATTCCCTAGCATACAGAAGAATCCCAAAAATATTTGTTCACTTAATGAGCAATTTACACAAAGGAAATAAAACCAGCAAAGAAAACCATTCTACCTTCCTAGTAATCAAAGAACTGTAGTCTTTACTATGGAGTCCAAATTTTCACTGTAATAATATTAGGAAATACTAACATACACCACTCATGTTAACAAAGTTATAAAACTGGTGTTGGTGATTTTTAATTGATACAACTCTTTTGGAAAATTTTGACTAATATAGTATGGGGAGCTGAAAAATTATTTCAAGTAATGAATGTAAAGACAAGATAAAAATTAGATGTAAAATTGTGTATACATTATGATTACACTTGTATTTTATTTTTTATTTATAAAATTTTTTAATGTTTTACTTATTTTTGAAAGAGATACAGAGCATGAAGTGGGGGTGAAGCAGAGTTAGAGAGCGACACAGAATCTGAAGCAGGCTCCAGGCTCTGAGCTGTCAGCACAGAGCCTGCCACGGGGCTCGAACTCATGAGCGATGAGATCATGACCTGAGCCGAAGGCAAAGCCCGGAGCCCGCTTTAGATTCTGTGTCTGCCTCTATCTCTGCTCCTCCCTTGCTTACACTCAGTGTTTGTCTCTCTCTCTCTCCCTCTCTCTCCCTCTGTCTCTCAAAAATAAATATTAAAAAATTAAAAATAAATAAAAATAAAATGCATAATAAAAAGACTAAGGAATATAACCGTGGTAGTTAGTAGTGGTTTTATGATGTTAAAGCTATGGGTAGTTTTCCCACCTTTGAAAGTATTTTCTGTAATGTTACAGATTTTATGATATAAAATGTATACAAGCTTCTCCAGTATTTGAATTTGAAAAAAAAAATGTAATTCTGAATCAAAATTCTGATGTAAGAGCACTTGAACAGTTTTTAAGTAAATTTTTCTGGTCTTACAATAAATAGCTTCTTAAGCGTGGGTCAGAAGGGAAGGGATTGGTAGTTAAAAGTTGCTCATGGTAGGGTGTGTGAGGCCAGCATAGAATGCAGATAATTTAAGTTATGGTCTCAAGATTGAATCATGTAGCAATTCTTCATTTTAAGAATTTCAATAGTAAATTATTCTGCTTTAAATGTGGTTTTGTTTTTGTTTTAAGGTATCAGTTTCTTGAAGAAGCTTTTCAAAACCAGAAAGGTGCAATTGAGAATCTACTGGCTAAGCTTCTTGAGAAGAAGAATTATGTTCATTTTGCAGCTACTCAGGTGCAGAACAGGTAAGTGTGTTGCCTTAAAACCATAATTTCACTTTAAAAATTATTATACACACTAGATCGTTTAAATTTGTTTCCCTTCTGTATTAAGCATATATAGAAAACATTTTTAGAAGGGTAAATATATGTAGAAGTTTGAGTTTGGATTATGATATGTGTTAATTAAGATTTAATTCACCAAAATTTTGAATACTCTTAAAATACATCTTTAACTCTTTTCTAATCAGTAAAACTCTATTCTTTGTAAAGCCTTAGTTAACGATGGAAAAAGCAGTTACTATGTAGAGTTGAATTATAAAACTTTTAACTGTGTGGTTGACATAGTATAGAGGAGAGACTATGAAGAATGTCTCCTGTAAAAGAAGCATTTTTAAAGACACTACTTCTCGCAGAATTATTATTATAACTTGTATGTAACAGCACACTTTATGGCACATAGTAAACTCTCAAATTTTGACCATTGCTATTATTTTTATCAGTAATCCCGTCAGCATTTAAAAATTCTATTCAGGTTAATTTCTCAAAAAACTAAATTTATTGATAGGCAAGTTGGAATAAGTTCCATAAGTGAGTACATTAACAAGATGAGGATTCTTGGGGTAGAAAGATGAACACTTGGAGCTGGCATAATTAAAATCAGTATATTCCTGGAGGTATGAATAGGATTAGTAAGTATTTTTCAGTTTCACGAATATTGAGACTTCTGGTATTTCTAGAATATTAAAATTAATTACTTTATTTAAAATGGCAATACTTAAAAATATTAAATAGATGAATGAATAGCGCATTATACATTAGACTATAAGGTGGCAGAACTTTCATCTTAAGAAGTGATACCAAAAGAAAATAAAGTGTACTCCAAGGTTGTAGGTAATATGTAACAATGCAGTTGACTCTTGAACAACATGGGTTTGAACTGTGTGGGTCTATTTATATGCAGA